CTGCTGAAATTTGCTTCTCGCACTCTGCCACGTTAAAAGACTCTTCTTCTCTTCCAGGAATCAAAGCATAAAAGAACAGACAGATCGATCTTGTGCTGTTTACGAAAAGGAGAATCTGGCCAGGCGTGGCCAAGGTTAACAAAAGAGAAGGCAAAGGTGGGTCCCCATTCTGTCTTTCCATGCTCGTGGCAGCAGTGCTCGCAGTCTCTCGAATTTAAGATATAAATGTCACCCAGAGGCTGATTAGCCGGTATAAAATACAAACTCACCCTGGTAACTGGTCTCAAACACTAGTATTTCTTGGAGTGCTTGCCTGTGACTTGTATTTTTGTGAGGGTAGATTCCTCCCACACATCCAAAATGACTTGCTTCTGAAGGAAATCCTTGTACTGTTTGCAGCTCAACTGGCTCAGTGTGGATTTCAACAACTGGAAAGATTGGGAAGATGATTCAGATGAAGACCTGTCCAATTTTGATCGCTTCTCTGAGGTAATGGGAGACAGGTTTGCAGTTCCCGCTTGCATTGTGCGCGTTGGCAAGCAGCAGCTGACAGTGAGCTGAAAAGACCTCTTCAGCTGCGTTAGCGTTCCAAGTGGTTCCTTGGCTATCAACACCAATGCAGACTATAGCATGCTGAATCCCAGCTGCTGCCAGCACCAAATGGGTGACTTGGCAGATGCAGACTAGAGCAAAACCTGCTTGGAGTTGTGGCAGCTTGATACGCAACGAGAATTGCTGCTTGACTGATGGTGCGTTAAAACCACTGCTTGGCTGCTTCCTCATTCGCTCTTTGCCTGTTGCGAGCGAACTGGTCCTTCAGGGCGTGGGCTTGGCGTGCAGTTGTAGCTCTGCACTTGCAGTAACATGGGGACGTGCACATGGGGTGACAGTGAGATTTGCCAGTCTTGCTCAGGCTCGCTTACAAGCACAAACTTAGCATGAGTCTCCAGCAGGAGAGGGCTTCATGCTAGCTTCACCTGAGCCTGGTGATGCTCAGGTAAAAGCAGTCCTGTGGCACATTCAGCTTGAAATAAACATCTGGCTGGCTGGCTCCTTCCATGAAGAAATGCTTAATGAAGAGACACTAGCCCCTGCATTGTCCATTGTGGCTGAGCTCCACCATAATTTAATGGGCTATTTTTCGACATTGATTTAGTGTGCATTGGCTTAGGGAAATGGGAGCTGTTGAGGCAGTCTCCAGTCTAATTCTGCTTTTACCTTCAAAACAGATGATGAACAACATGGGTGGAGACGAGGGTGTAGATTTGCCAGAAGTAGATGGAGCAGATGATGTGAGTAGCTAATCAGCGGTTTGTTTAGTGGGGGGCAGCCTCGGTCAGGTGTGAATGGCCAAGTTGGAATTCTTGGCCTAGTATAGCTGGGGGAGGACTGCCCAATGCCCTTGGCAAGGGCAGCAGTTCCCCAAGCTGCCTGAAGGGTGCTAGAGTTGCCCCTGTGAACATCTGCGGGGTTCTCTCCACTTGCCCCTTTGTAGTTCCTCTCAGGTTTGCCCTTGCTGTGTATGGGGCTCAGCTGGGGTGGAGCTGGCTTCTGCAGGTCCTCGGAGTAAATCTAAGTCCTGATGGCCAGCGGCCTTGTGCCAGGCATCACAGACCTGACCCCTTGGCTGGATTAGCGTTGGTACATGGAGCGGACCGCCAGATCTAATCAATTCTTCCTTGCTGTTTGTTTCTCCTTCAGGACTCACCAGACAGCGACGACGAAAGTAAGTGTTTCACTGTGCTAATCTGCAGTCTCCGGGAGTTGTTGCACTAGCTCTTTCCTCCAAACTGGGAACACTCTATCAAGCTTGCCAGCACGTGCCCTTGTCTGCCAGGATGTGGCACTGGGTTCTAGCTAGGTCCGTGCTGACCACGCTATCCTAGTGGGTTACACTGAATGCAGAATGACCCATCCTTGAGCGGGGCTTGCAGACATCCCCCGGCTCTGCTGATTGCTGCGGCCACAGGAGTCGGAGACTGGAGCTGCCTCCTTCATGGAGGTCTGTGCATACAGCTAGTCTGACTCTTAACACTTTGAGTGTATTGGGTTTAATGTTTCAGGGGTGTTGGTTATGCCGCAGGTTTAATACAGAACTGAACGGAACCTGAGATTTGCATTCGATCTGCCCACTAGGGTGCAAAGAAGGCCGAGCGACACGTAGCTCAGCCTGGGTCAGGGCTTCTGTCATGGTGTCTGTATTGCAGCCAGCTCCAGAAGGGGCTCTGGGTTTCAATACAAAAGCATTAACGCATTGCCTCTCTTTTCAGAAATGCCAGATCTGGAGTAAGGAAAACTGTCGTCTTCAGGGTTTGGGGAAAGAACTTCATTACAGCATTTCATAATTGAGATAAGAATTCCTGAGTTGATAGCTCTAAAGCCAGATATTGCATCCTTTAACCCATTTTCAATCTGTTTTAAATGGCTTCACTGATGGTTGGTATGTACCATTGTACGGGGCAGTCTTAAGTCACAAGAGGCAATAACATTATGTGGGAACCTTTTTTTTCAGACTTCCAAAAAACAAAAAGCAATTGAGGTATAGGCAACCGAAACAACCGCTGCAGGACAAAGTTTACAGAACCCGGTCGCCTCAGACATGGTTACAATGGGGAAATCCTCTATTCGCTTGAATGGCAAATCTGCATTCCCCCTTGCAGCGTGGGCTGCAGGTAACTCTGTCAGAGACCTCCTACCTGGAGGTGACCTGGCTCATGCGATGTTTTAATTGGCTTACAGAATTAAATTGGTAATGCGCTATACCTCTGTAGTGTCTTCAGGTGTGTTCCACTAATGTGCTGTTAAAAAGGAGAACACTTCACTTTGTATTTAATGATCACTAGTTAGTGTTCCAGGCGTATTTTAGCTAAAAACTAGTGACCCCTGAACTGAAGTGGGTGAAGCCTGTACATTGGTATTGTTTGACCCCCCCCCCCCCCCCCGCCTCGCCTCCCTCTTTTTTTTTCCCCCCCCCCCCCCCCCCCAGCTTTTACATCTCTTAGTCCAGAGGGGTGAGAATGGCTGTACATTGTTGCTTGTCAATCTGTACATTTAGACCAAAATGTATTTGCACTGTTGGTATGGAAACGAGTGACAAAATGTTATACACTATTGGGATTTTTTTGTTTTGTTTATTTGACCAGCTTATAACAAGGCTGAGAAACCTCAATTTGTGTTCAAAGCAGTGGGGATTTTTTTTTTAATGTCTACATTCTTTCTAATAAACTGTTGAAGACTCCATGGCTGTCCTTTTAACTGTCCGACTGTAACATCATATATTCTCATTTGCTGGAATGGATTTTTATTTTTAGTTGGGATAATTAGCACGGGCTTTTATTGCATCTGTTGGAAGGAGGCAAGTTGTAATGTGCCCAGCAAACCTTCAGGAAAGTGGATCTGTAATGGAAAAGAGTGCAGTCGCGTGAGTCCGGGGAAGGGGGGGGGGGGGGGGGGAAGCAAAGTGTTGTGATTTGACTCCAATAAAACACTGTTTTGTCCTCCTAAATCTTTGAGCTTCTGCATTTTGGCACTGAGGTCCCTGACATGGCAGAAGGACAGGGGGGTGATGCTCTTTAGTTCCTGTTTTTCTCCCTTAACGGGTCTGGATGACTGCAGTCAATGGCACTCAGTCTGGGAGCAGCCTGCAGTGCCCTAGCCAGGCTCCGACGCTGCGGATCCTCCTTTCCTCCTTGGCCTGGGTGAGAGCATGTTCCCAGCCTGGTCTCTAGATATCTCCTCAGTGTGTGTATGAATTCACTCAATAGGGTTTGTCTTCCAGTGGGCAAAATTGGCCTCTTTTGTGAAGCTTTGAGACCGACTTGAGGGCCATGGCAGGCAGGCAGGGCTATAGTTGTAAGCGCTTGCAGCCTGTGTGAGGTTATAAGCTGTATCTCCCCACCTTTGTGTTGAAGAGTGTCCCATGAGGTGGTTCCTTGCACGGTCCTCTGAAGCATCTGTGACTAGCACACAGGAACATCTGCATTGCCAAGGCCTTTCAAATCCTTCCCATTGGCTAACAAGGCCCATCTGAAGCTACTTTCCCAGGTCAGCACTTCAGCATAAAGTAACAAGCAGTTCAGTTGATCCCAGCAGCAGTGACCTGCGTTCTAGATGAGCTCTGCTGGAGTCGGGAACAGGAAGAGCCTGCTGTGAAGATTGGGACGGTTGCCCTAAAGCATGATAACAGGCCCTGAGGTGGTAGAGAAAGGCGCAAGGGGTTTGGTGGCCAAGGAATGTCGGAAGGGCTGGGAGCCTGGGAAAGGGCTTTTCCTTCTGTGATCAGCTTGGCTCTGATGAGCTGAGACAGAGCAGTTTGGAGCAAACCATGAAGAATGGTGCTCGTATGTGGAAGAGGATATGTGCCCAGGCAGAAAATACATGGGCTTCATACAGGCCTCCCTGGAGAGGGCAGGAGTCTGCTGAGCTACTGCCCCTCAAGCTAGGCAAACCCTGAGCTAGGAATGACAGTGCTGATGTCATGTGGCCCCGCCAGGAATGTCGGGTATTTTCAGGGCAGCGCGTGCCCCTCCAGGCAGCGCTGGTAGCAGGCAGAGCTAATTTTAGACTCCAGGACATGCCGTCTTTTAGCCGGTGTCAGCTGGGATGCACTGCTGGAATTCTCTGGGTGAGACGGCAGATACAACCCAGCTGGGCTCAGGCTCCTGCCTGCTGCAGAGGCCTCTGAATCCCTGCCATTGTTTCCTATCCACAAAAGCCTGAGAAAGCGGAATCATGGGCTTGGGTGCGAGAACAGAAAGGATGCAGCTGCCGTGTGGGCTTGGGGATGCGGAGAGCAGCGGTTCCAGCACTCGCAAGCCCAGACATGGAGAATCGAGACCCAGAACAGCTGCTGCCTGGGTGCTGCTGTTAGCACCAATCCCAGTAGCAGAAGCTTGCACAATGTGAGAGGAAGAGCAGAGGGTCTGGTCCAAAGCCCACTGCAGTTGATGGAGACTGAGTGAAGCCATAGATACATTGTGCTTATACCTCAAAATGATGCAGCCTGTCTCCCCTTACAGTGTACAGTGAACATCCATCCCATTTGACCCCTGCCTTGGCTGTGCACAGTGGCAGCGTAACTGGACTGTGTGGGGGCTGTTGGAGTGGAGCGTGCACCCTGCTTCAGAGACCTGGGGCTGCTCTTGATCCTGCCCAGCAGTTCTGCTGTTAGGGCTCTCCTCTTCCTCCAGCATATATTGATAGCTGGGGAGCGAAAGGGACCCGGCCTGTGTTTAGCCCTTTTTGTGCGAGCAAAGGGCTTCTGCCAACACAGGGGAAGGGGCAGGGGTGTTGCTGCTTTACAAAACCCCTCGCCCTGGGACAAGGAGCCGTGGCACAAATAAAACCAGGCAGGTCTGTTTTATCAGAGCAGCTGTGTTTCTGTTTGAGCCAGGAGCAGCAGAGTGGGGCTGTATATTCACAGCGGTGCCCGTCTCGTAACCAGCCTTGCAAAGCTGCCAGCTCCAGCACAGGCTTTGCCTGGCATCCCTTCCTCTGAGGAGAACGGAGAACCCGATACTCTGCTCACCAGCCCAGGATAATTGCCAGCTTGGGGAAACTTTATTTCCCCCCCCTCCCCCCCCCCATCTCTTGTTTTAAGACCAGAGGTCAGAACAAAGCACGGGTTGATTGAGATGCCCTAGAAACCATTGTGAGTGGCTGCGGCAAGAATTACAGCCTCAGCCTGGTAACGAGCATCGTGTGGGCAGTGTTTAACAGCTGAACAACAGGAGTTGTTCCTGGTTCTGCAACCAACTGCTGTTCCCTGTAGCCCAGAGAAGGCATCTGTTGGCACCTGAGTGCCCTGCAGGCTCCGGGCTGGGACCTGGGTGTTGATAAACTGCCTCTGCTATGAGGACAGCTGTAAATCCCTTCAAGATCCTTGGAGAGTTTTATTCTAACCAGCCTCTGCTGGGCTGCAGCCAGCACACGTTTGCCTTAGCAACAGGCGCTTCCCATCAATAGATGGTTCACTTGGGTCCAGGCCAGAGCACGCGGGTGCTGATTACAGACCTCAAGACCACCCCCAGCCCCTGACTCTGCTGTGCCATGGAGCCTTGCAGCCTCCAGAGAGGGAAAGCTGCCTTGGTTATTCCTTCCCTGTAACATGGCTCCCCCAGCTGTGAATAACTCGCTCCATTCTTGTGGCTAAGGCACAAGGGAGGTTCCAGTAAGGTCTGTACCCCCCTTTTGCCCCTGCTCGTTCACCTCTTCCTTGCTGCAAATGTGACTCTTCTTCGCTGGATGATGCTGTGCCTGTCTCTGCTGCTTTCCACCCAAGAAACCAATGTGCTTTGGAAGCCCAGACCTTAAGCAAGGGCCAGAGCTAGCTTAACACCACCCTCCTGCCCCCACTGCCCTGTACATTAAAGCAGTGGGTTTCAACCTTTTGTGTCCCAGGACCCATTTGTGGTCATTCAGGGCCAGTCCCGACCCAGAAAATCGTGTCAGTAGAAAACAGCCCCCTGGCTGTGCTGGAGCCCCGTGCTTCCGACCCGCTGCCCCCAGCACGCGGGCTGTGGTGGGGAGCAAGCAGACCCTTGCAACCTGCCAGGAAAAACCCACGTTTTTCTCCTTTAAAGGAGAACCCATTTTTAAAGTTTGTTTGCCACACTTTTATATATTCTTGAGACCCACTGTTGGGCTGTGACTTATGCGTTGAGAAATGCTGCAGTAAAGCACCTCAGTGGGGTTGGTGATGACTGTTTACTACAGCACACGGTTGAGACTCGCCTGGGACCAGCGATGCCAGTCTGGGGCTTCTCCATCTGGGGAGCACGAGCAGGCATGAGAATCATAGAAAGTGATGGGGGGAAGGGACCTCAAGAGGTCATGTATAGTCCAGCGTTTTTCAACCCGAGAATTGCAAGAATATATGGAAAGGTCATAGACAAACTTCAAACATGGATTTCTCTTTAAAGGGGAAAAACATGGGAGCCGGTAGGTTTTCCCTTGCAGGCTAGCAGAGCTCCAGCCTCCGAGGAGCTGCTTGGGGCCCCTGCACCCCACACACGGGGGCAGCGGGTCGGGACTGACCATCGTTGTTTACAAGTGGGTCCGGATACAAAGAAGGGTGACAGCCACTAACCTAGTGCAAGCCCCGGCGCGAAGGTGGACTCCCTTCATGGCTCAGGGGGAGAGAGGACCTGCGGGGGGGGGGCCCTGCAAGGGGCGCTTCTGGCCTGGACATGAGGCCGGTTTTGTGCATCGAGTGCGGTGCCCAGGGCCCAATGAGCCGGGTCAGGCCGAGAGGGCCGAAGCAGCTCCAGGGGCATCCCTCGGGGGCTCGGCCACACGGAGCATCCGCTCCGGCTGCGCCTGCCCTGGGGCAGGGCCTAGGAGCCGCGGCCCAATTCGGTACCCCCGACCAG